CTCTGGGAGACCCCTACTCACGAACTGGCTGTTGCTGTGGCTTCGGCGCAGCCTCATGGTCATTTTGGTGCAGGGCTCAGGGCTGTGGCGCAGCTCCTCGCGGCCGTCCCGAGCCCCAGGTGACACCGGTGACCCCCGGGACTCCCCTGCGGGGGGCTCCTCCTTCACCACCACCGTGGGGGGACACTCGGGGCCGTCCTTGTCTGTGGGGAGGGGGGAATTGGGGGTTACTGGGTCATTGAAAAGTCATTAAATGGTTTTGGGCAGTATCAAACATTTGGGGGGTTACTGAGCAATTTGGGTGTTAGCAAACATTTGGGAGGGTACTGAACAATTTGGGGTCACTGGAAAACTCCGGAAAGGGTCCTGAAAATATGGGAGGGGATCACAGGAATCATGGGGAGGCCAAAAAGAACTGGGGGAGCAGATCCATAAAGAACTCGAAACGAAGAGAATCCCTAAAGAAATGTGAGGGGGGGTGTATCCCAAAAGAATAAGAGATCTGACCCCAAATGAACAAAGAGCTCTCAAAAGAATGCAGGGAGCGGTGGGTCCCAAAAACACTGGAGATGGTGTCTCAAAATAATGAAGAAGACAAAAGCTCAAAGAAAATGTCTGCCCTGAAAGAACCTGGGGAAGGAAGCAGGTCCCAAAAAACTGGGGAAGGCGGTTGTCTGTCCCAAAGAATAGGAAGGCCTGTCCATAAAAAGCTGTGGAGGAACTATCCCTAAACAACCAAACTCCCATAAAACCTAGGGGTAGGGGAGAATGGCCAAAGAGATGAGGAGGGGTCCAAAAATAACAAGGATGGGTCCTCAAAAGTTCTGGAAGTGTGTTCTGGGGAGGAGAAGGGAGAAGTGAAGGAAAGAGGGTCCCAAAAGATCTTAGGGAAGGGAATCCCAAAATAACTTCGGGCACACCCCGAAAGAACTGCTAGGAAAAAAGGACCGCAAAAGAACTAAGGGGTTTTTCCAAAAAAAATCCCAGCAGGATGAGGTGGCTCCCAGAAGGATTCAGGGGGTCCCAGCCACCCCCTACACCCCACAATCCCCCACAGGAGGGGGGATCCCTCAATACCTTTCTTCCGTAGGGTCTTATCCTTGGCCACCAGCCCCAAACCCAACATTTTGGGTCCGGCCCCGTAAATCTGCAGCTTCTTCAGCTCGGGGTTCTTCTCAATGTCCTCCTCCGTGGGCTCGGGCTGTAGGACAGCGGTGTCAGGGGGATCCCCTGGACACAGGGCAGATCCTCAGGGGGATTTCTGGATTTCAGGGGGGAATTTTAGGGTGCCCACCTCCTGCTGCAAACGCTTGGCACGCCGGCCGTAGCTGTTGAACTTGGAGGGCTGCACGGACTGGCGCAGGGGGATGCTGTGGGGTTTGTACTCCCGGTCCTTCTCCTCGCTCTCAAAGGGCCGCGCGTGGCACTGCTGGAGAGAGGCACCCTCAGCACGGCCCAGGGCACCCTCAGCACGGCCCAGGGCACCCTCAGCACGGCCCGGGGCACCCTCAGCACGGCCCNCAGCACGGCCCGGGGCACCCTCAGCACGGCCCGGGGCACCCTCAGCACGGCCCGGGGCACCCTCAGCACGGCCCGGGGCACCCTCAGCACGGCCCAGGGCACCCTCAGCATGGCCCAGGACCCCTCAGCACGGCCCAGGGTGTCCCCCCGGCCCTGCACTCACCACCAGGTTGGCCCCGGACTGGTACATCTCGTAGGGGTAGATGATGCGCTCGTAGTGCGCCCGCAGCAGCGAGCCGATGTTCTTGCCCGACGGGTACGAGAGGCGCTGGGCCACCCGCGCCCACCGCCGGTCCTTGCAGATGGCCTCGTAGCCACCCTCCTCCATCACCACCTGTGAGGGGACATTGAGCACCTGAGCATACAGGACACCACAGGGACACCACAGAGTCACCCACAGTCACCCCAGGCCACTCGCACCCACTGGTGGTCTTTGCAGATGGCCTCGTAGCCACCCTCCTCCATCATCACCTGTGGGGTGACACAGCCCCTGAGCACCCAGGGACACCCCAGTGCCACCCAGAGCAATCCCCAGGCCACGCACGGCCACTGCTGGTCCTTGCAGATGGCCTCATAGCCACCTTCTTCCATCATCACCTGTGGGGTGACACTGCGCACCCAGGGACACCCCAGAACACCCAAACCCATCACCGTTCCTTACAGATGGCCTTGTAGCCACCCTCCTCCATCATTATCTGTGAGTGGACATTGAGCCCCTGAGCACCCAAGGACACCCCAGAGCCACCTGCACCCCCTCGACTCCATCACCACCTGAGGAACAGAGCCCCTGAGCATTCCGGGACATCCCAGGGAGCAAAACCCCATAAATGGCCACCTTCCCCCATAAATGGGCACATACCTCACCCATAAAAGTAGTTAAGTCTCTGATTAAGAAATACTCCCCCAAGAGAAACAATTACCCACTTAAACAAAAAAATCCCCCTATGTGGGGCAATTATCCCCCCACACAGGAGCATGCCCCCCTCCCGGGGGAAAATTACTTCCCTAAATAGGAAAAAATCACTTAAAAAAATACTGTCGTAAAAGATCAATTACAACTCTAAAAGAAAAATTCCCCCAAGGTGAACAATTAACACCCCCTAAAAGGGAACATATTCCACATGGGGGGCAATTTCCCCACCAACAGAAAATTTCTCCCCCCAGGGGAACAATTATCCCCTGAACGGTAGAATATCAGGGAGAGGAAAAAAAAAACCCTACATGGGAACATATTCCTCACAAGGGCAATCAGTCCCCCAAAACCTAAGATACCCTTCAGGAGAAAAAAATGACCCCCTAAATGGAAAGATAATGCCAAGGTGGGGGCAATAAACCCCCTCAAGAAAAGTACACCCCCAGAGAAACAATTATGAATCCAGATAAAAAGACACAC